GCGGTGCAAGGGAGGAAAAAAAAATCCCGTCTGTCTGACACAGGCAAATCTATTTCTGTTCATCGCCATTGTTCCTTTTTTTGCCGCCGCCGACGTGAACGGGAATAAAAATGGAAGGCGGCGGAAGGGGCAAACTTTCCATCAGCCATCTTAAAGGGAATAGTCCTTAAGTCAACAGTTGTACATTTTTTAGCATTGTTGCTACATGCTAATGCTGGAACTCTTTTGCTGAGATTTTTCGTACCGTCTCATCTGGTCCGACTGGTTTGCGTGGGATTTGGATTTGGATTGATTTCTATTTTGTGGCAACTCGTTAAATGTGATGGAAATAAGAAACGCATTTCGACATCAACTACGGTATAAATGGTATGTTGCAGATCAGGCACGGCTCCTTTCTCGTACTTGGATCACCACACTATCTGGGGGAGGACAAAATATTTTCGACATATATGTGAGAATGGGGGCGGCCTCACAGTGCAGAGGTGGTGGGTTCGATCCCGGCTCCGGCCTTCCTGTGTGGAGTTTGCATGTTCTCCCCCGTGCCTACGTGGGGTTTCTCTGGGTACTCCTCCCACGTTCCAAAAACATGCATGGTGGGCTGATTGAACACTCGAAATTGTCCCTCGGTGTGAGTGTGAGCGTCGATGGTTGTTCGTCTGTTTGTGCGTCGCGATTAGCTGGCAACCGATTCAGCGTGTCCCCCGCCTACTGCCCCAAGTCGGCCGTGATGGGCTCCAGGACCCCAACGCAACCCTTGTGAGGATAAAGCGGTTCGTGTGATGTAAATATGGTTGTTATGAGCAGCGAGCACTGCCAAGCAAGCGCGTCTCCAGATGTGACGATGACGGTTATGATGATAGCGCGATGATGAGGATGATGATGATGATGACGTTGTGATGATAGCGTGATATGTGAGCAGCAACACCCTCCATTTTGTTTCCAGATGCCGGGGAGGAGGCGGCTTCGGCAGCTGCCAAGGCGGCCGTCAGCGTTCCGCCGTCGGTGTCGCAGCATCGCGAGCGCTCGCTGGGCTCGGCCTCCAAAGACTGTCCCTACTGCGGCAAGTCCTTCCGCACCTCGCATCACCTCAAGGTCCACCTGCGCATACACACAGGTCAGTAGAACACCTTGAAATGGCATCAAAAATCAGGAAAAGTGGTCGATCAGTCTCAAGTCTTGACACTCATGTTTCAAGCAAGTCCCAAGTTCGTGTGATCAGTCAGGCTGAGTCTTGATGAAATTTTGTTGAGTCGAGTCATGAAGCCACATTTAAGCTGGTTGAAGTAGCCATTTTGGACTCTGTGTGTGTGTGTGTGTTTTTCTTCCATTGCAATTTGTTTTTCTTGCATTTTGGCTTTGTTCTGCTTCAACTGCAGTTGCTTTTCATTCGTTTTTCACGCGAGTTTTCGTTTGAGTCAAAGCAATGCTTTCTGGGAATGCGTGATGATGACAATTTGCTTTTGGTGGCCGGAAGCAATCGAGTCATTTCAATGGGGAAAGTGGATTTGTCAGATGAGTAAATTGAGTTGCGAGCTTGCTCAAGGAACGGATTCGACTCTCAAGTCAAAGCAGCGCCGTACGTACGTGCTCTTCCCGCACTCACACTCCAGCATGTGTTTGTCCGCGCGTGTGTGTTTGTTCACATGCGTGCGCGCGGCCTGGCTGCTGGCGGCTTTTGGATTTGATCATTTTGGCCTCCATCTGCGTGGGGCAGGTGGGCGAGGGTCTGCTACAACGGCAAGCGGCGCGTGCCAAAAGAGGATGTGGAGATGTGTGGCGGCGACCGCTGGAAATGGGTTTTGCGAGGCGGCACGGACCCCCTGCCCCCCCACGAATCCTCGTCTCTTTATTTAGAGCCACCCTTTTTTGTCTATGAATTTCTTTTCAACCAGTAAAGGTTAGACTGATGATGCACCCATCTGTCCTGTGTCGACTGGTCTTGTCCTGTCCTGCCTTTTCTTGTCCTGCTTTGTTACTCGTAATCCTGTCCTTGTCCTTTCGTGTCTTCAATTGTCATTTCTTATCCTGTCCTGTCCTTTCTTGTCCTGTCTGATGTTGTTGTGTCATGTCTTCTGTTGTCCCGTCCTCTCTTTTCTTCTTTGGTCACGTCTTGTCCAATCTTGGTGTCTTTATCTCGTCTTTCCCTATCATGTCCTTCAATGATTTGCTTCCTTGTCCTGTCCTCTCCTGCCGTGTCCTCTTAAATTCCCACATTACAGTGGCTTTATAATGTCCTAATTCGATACAATGTTGAACACCTGACGCTCACATGCTGGCTTATGTGTGAAAGGCGGCGGGCTGCCAATCCTGTTTGTCGTACTCTCGTCTTTCTCGTGCACCAATTTTACGCAATCTCTGCATGAGACCTTCAAAGCTTTTTTTAACGACTTGACTTTTTCACTGGAGACTTGAAAGCTAATTATATCGTTCAGCCTCATTTTGGAGAAGCCGGATGTGCACTTTTTATTTCTTAAAAGAGATTTGTGTGCTCTTTTTTCCTGCGTCTTTGTGGCCGCCTTGGAATGTTTTTCACCGACTGCTGAATGGTCTCCCGTTTTATTGTGAGTGACCTGCTGACTTGACTCTTTCCATTCTGTCGACTTGCGGCACACACAAAAAAAAAACTCATTGTGCGGCGGTAGCGGCAGCCATCTTTTATCAAATCATCGCAAACATTTTTATTCATTAGATAATGTCGGTGAGTCCACACAAACAACTCGAGATGGGACGTGAGCATTTTCATTTCTATTTGATAATTACAACAACAACAAAAAAAAAATAATGATAAAGGAAGGGCAGCCCGGTCGTCGAGTGGTTAGTGCATCGACCTCACAGTGCCTGCGTGGGTTTGCTCCGGGTACTCCGATTTCCTCCCACATTCCAAAAACATGCTTGGCGGGCTGATTGAACACTCCAAATTGTCCCGCGGTGTGAGTGAGCGTGGATGGTTGATCGTCTGTGCTTGCCCTGCGATGGGCAGGCAAGCGGTTCAGGGTGTCCCCCGCCTACT